CCCCCAATCGGGCTCTTCAAGCTCCCCAGAGGCGCCCCTGATTGGGGGAGCACTTTGCGCTCATGCTGCAGGGTTCAGCTATCACAAACCCCATCGCAACACCAGAGGTCATCGTTGCTGCGTCTGCGGCTTGCAGCGCAGCGGCTTCAAATATTGCCCGAGCCTTTGAGCGCTCAACTTATCAATTTACATCCATCACCTCTCCTGACGCATCTCGGCTACCGGGGTTGCCCTCCAGGCGTCAATGAGCCTTCAACTTCACCTCACTCCGACTTCTTTCTTCCCTTTCAGCCTTGTCTCCATTCTTGTGTCATAGTTCCCCTCTCATGGTCGGTCTTCATTATTATAACGGCTTCGTTCGCTCAAGTAAAGCTACACTCCTGTTCTTCCTCTTCTCAACCCCGGCCATCCTCTGAAACCCAGCGCAATGCCTCGCGACAGATATACCCGTCAATCTCTAGGCTCGACGCAGCGACTAGTCAAGGAGGTGAGTTACTCTCTCAAAATGGGCCGGGCAAAACTGGGTCTGACTTTGCGACCAAAAAAGTCCCGTGTCCTCCTTGTCGGCGCCGGCGGCATAGGCTGCGAGCTGCTCAAGAACCTCGTCCTCACAGGCTTCGGCGAAATCCACATCATAGACCTTGACACGATCGACCTCAGCAATCTGAACCGACAGTTTCTCTTCCGGCAAGAACATATCAAGAAACCAAAAGCACTGGTCGCAAAGGATGTGGCGCAGAAGTTCAACCCGACCGTCAAACTGTTCGCGTACCATGCGAATATAAAAGACAAGCAATTCAACCTGGAGTGGTTTTCGGGCTTCAACATCGTCTTCAATGCGCTCGACAATATGGACGCGAGACGGCATGTCAACAAAATGTGTTTGGCTGTCGATGTCCCCCTAGTCGAATCTGGCACTACAGGCTTCAAAGGTCAAGTCCAGGTCATCAAGAGGGGCAAGACTGCTTGCTACGACTGCACTCCCAAGACTACTCCGATTTCCTACCCTGTCTGCACGATCCGATCCACTCCGAGTCAACCAATCCATTGCATTGTATGGGCAAAGAGTTACCTTCTGCCAGAGCTGTTTGGCGTGAGTGAGGATGAGGCAGCTGAAATGGACTCTTCGGAAGATACGGATAATGCGGAGGAGATCAAAAAATTAAAAGAGGAGGCGCAGGCTCTGAAGACAATCAGAGCGTCAATGGGTTCGAACGACTTCGCAAAGCAGGTATTTGAAAAGGTGTTCAAAGAAGATATAGAAAGACTGGTGAAGATGGAGGACATGTGGAAAGACAAGAAACCACCAGAACCGCTTTCCTACGATACACTTGAGCAAGGAGTAAGCACGACCGGCCCAGAAGTATCTCAGAACGGCCAGCAAACATGGTCCGTTGTCGAGAACTTTGTTGTGTTCAAGGACAGTCTGAACCGCCTGGTGAAGCGATTCTCTCAGGAACAAGCGACCGCTTCAAAATCCGGGGATTTGCAGCCCACAATCTCCTTCGACAAAGACGACGACGATACGATGGACTTTGTTGCTGCAGCTGGCAACCTGCGTGCAATTATCTTCGGCATCGAACCCAAGTCAAAATTCGATATCAAGCAGATGGCAGGCAACATCATCCCCGCAATCGCCACCACAAATGCCATGGTCGCTGGTCTCTGCGTACTGCAGGCGTTCAAGGTATTAAAAGGCGACTACGCTCGGACGAAATGGCTCTGGTTGGGGATTGGTTCATTGCGGACAGACCAATTAGACCTACCAAGCCCAGAGTGTCCTGTCTGCAGCGTTGCTATGGCAAGGGTCCATGTCGATATTGAAAAAGCCACACTAGGTGACCTGGTGCAAGACGTCTTACGGACCAAACTGGGTTATGGAGAAGAACTGACAGTCATGACAGAGGCCGGCGTGGTATATGACCCTGACCTCGAGGACAACTTGGAAAAAAAGCTGTCAGATCTGAATATCGATGACGCAAGTTTTGTTCTTGTCAAGGACGACGACGACGACCAGCCCCGGGTCGACCTCCAAATAGCCATCGAGACGAAGAAACCAAAGGACGAAAACAAAGTCGTTTTGCTTGTTGAGAAGGAAGGCGAAGTATTTGAGATTCCTCGAATAACGAAGAAGCAGCCTGCTCACACAGATAATCACGCCGGAGAAGACGATACGAATGGTATGGTCATCACGAACGGTGTCACAAGCACTATTGCACTCCCTAACGGCAAGAGGAAGCGGCCCTTGGATGACGAAGGAGAAGAGGGTGCTACGCCGGCAAAGAAATTACAAGGCTCCGCCTCTGGAGTGGCAAAGAATGGCGACATGCATGCAATTGTAATCGACGAGGACGACGGAGCGCTCGTCATCGCAGATGATGACTGATCGGTCCAGAACAAGCAGTGGCTATACGGGCACCGTGGATGATTTATGTTCGACAGATCCGGAAGATGAAGTGCCATATTAACGGTCATTGAAACAATCTTGGAAAGGGTGACGACTGGCAATGAGGCGACATATATCTCAGACTCAGATCTGGCCCATCCGCTGTGAGGCAGATGAGCTGCTGCATTACTTACTCCTGTACTTTAGACTCGAGGACGCATCTGCTCCTCGCATTATGAGCAAGGTGGCGGATAGACTCCAGGGGTTCCTCACATAAGCTTGTTGGAAAGTTGAGCTCGGGTTTTGGAAAGAGCTGAATTAGCGCTTGGATAGTACAAGTGAGGGTGTGATATCCATGATGATCATTAAACAGGAGACATCAATGAGAAGAGAAGACACGAATGAGGACATAATAAAGGAGGATCCCACAGTATGAGTTGGATGCTAAGGCTGAGGCGTAGGCAAAGGACCCGCTGCTTTAATGATCAATGATCCAAGCCTTTGCGCGTCGGCCACCACACACCGCCTAACGCTGCCTAAAGGGTTGTTGATCCTCGTAAGATTTTCGGGTCGTGATTTTTGAATGTTGATCCTTCACGATTTTTTCAGACGAGGGTACGTGAATTTCCCCCAGAGTGCCTCGTACAAAGCCACTCCTGCCCCCAAAAGCGTCAGTCACAACAATGGCCACCAACGGCACTCCCTCGCCCTTTGTGACGCTCGTCTCGTCCGATGGCTTCGAATTCCATCTCCGTCGCTCCGCCGCCTGCGTGTCCCCTACGCTAAGGCGTATGCTTGACTTGCAGAGTACGTTACGCGTGGACCGCGTCCCCCTCGTACAGTTCCTGAGGTGATGAAGCTAACATCCCCTTTCTCTACGGTGTAGACAACTTTGCCGAAGCGCAGACGGGGATCTGCCACCTGGAGAACATTAGCGCGAGCGTCCTCGAAAAAGTCGTCGAGTACTTTTACTACAATGAGAAATACCGGGACAGCGAGGGCGTGCCGGATATGGATATTCCCCCAGAACTGTGCCTGGAGCTTCTGATGGCGGCTGATTTCCTGATGTTGACGACATGAATCATACCAATATGGGTGCCAAAAAACCAAACCAAAACTTGCAAGGGGCGGACAGAATCAAGCTGGTGCTTTTTGGGCAAATCCCTGAAAGTCTTGACGATGTGCACCGTTCCTGAAACCAGTCTTTGAGGATACATCACTGATTGGCAAATTGCGGCGCGACCTGTCCATCCCAGGAATCGCCTGCCCAACGAAGTTTTTCGCTTCGAGGGAGTCAAAAGTTTTGCTCCTCGGTGCCCAGGGCCTGCCATGGATCATACTGCCGGGATATGCTATCAGAAGATGCAGAAGCTCGATTTAGCCTGGCACAGAACGGGTTTGGGTCGGAACTGGCAACATGGCCCAGCTCCCTGCTTTGACCTCAGCTCTTGATCTGCTACGCAGACAGACGATACATGACGGCCTAGAGTCATCACCATCCAAAGAGTTACGGCTGAAGTGAGGATTGACGAATGAAAGATGGTTGGCACCTACAATGAAAGTCAACGGATTCTCAAGTTTTGGTCGCTGTTGTCCTCGACATCTGCGAAAAGGTGGATGGAAAGCAACGCATTTGCTGTCCGAGCCTTGTTACATGTCAAGGAAGTCGAGTAAAAAGAGCACCACTTAACGCATTCATATCCCAAGAGCTCCCTTCCGGCTCCTGCCCGAGACATATTCTTTGTTGACAAGCATGTTAAGTGGTTCTCTATTCTACCATTCCTTCACTTCCCTCTCAAGATCCCTCCCTACGATTTGGGCATCTCTTTCCCTTCCCATTCTCCTAAACCAAGTCTCAATTCCATGGGCACCCCTCTCCCCCCTCAACACAGACAAAAGACCCCCCTCCACCCATCTCAAGCATATACGTCGCGACACTTCAAACCTGTCTACTCTCCCACAGGCCGACGTCTATAGAAGATGGAAGATCAGAAAGTCCCTAGATCATCAGGCAGTCCGCTCGCCTTCTTAAAAACGCCATGGTGAAAACGCGGACGTTCTCTCACGGGGAGACAACCCTCTTTGAAAATATATCCCTTGCGGCTTTTATCGGCTGTTCTCTGTATTCTCTGTGTACACTCTCTGGGATACCCCTGGGTCTTGGTGGAGACTGTATATCTTAGTAGAAGTTGCTTCCCATTCTTGCTACATCCTCGTTCTTAAAACTAGCGGGCGTAGTTAGAAAGAACAATAGGTAGCCATTTGCTGGCTCAGACTATTCTATTCTATTCCATCTGCTCCGTTGCGTCTGTTTCGTCTCGTCTCTTTTCATTATTGAACAACGCCGTCTATGTGCCTTTGTGTACATTTGTGTACTACTCTCATTCGATCACAGGGGTATCAAGTCTAAAAATGTCTAAAGCAGTCTAACATAGCCTGTCCTTGAAATCTGAAATGCCAATGCCTCGTCCCCGTCCAATTATGGTTTCCTGTGTGTCCCGCCGCAATCAAACATCGCTCATCGATGTCCAAATAGTCGTGTCCGCAAGTATTTGAGAAAGCCGCCTCGACCTGAGCACCCAGCAAGGCCATAATCCGCTCACGGCCACGTCGTCTACTTTCGTCCTTGTCCCTGTCCTTGCCCTGGCCCTCGGCCTTGGTTCCTCTTGGGCCGACCCTTGGTGCCTGCTCTGGTCTTCTCCTCATACAGTTTGTCGGCACCGAAGCACGCGTCGCTTAGTCTCAGGTAACTCACGATACCCGCGTCCACCACCGCGAGTAACACGTTCCGTCTGCCGTGCTTGAGCCTCGTCTCTAACCTGCCTGCCTGCGCTCTGGAAAGGGAATCCTCGGGCTGACTGTCGAGGAGAGGTCCGATTTCTGACAAAGAGGGAATCGACGGCGTCGAGCGCGCATCGATGACGCAGATTCGATAGTCCTCTGGAGGTGGTGAGGTCTTCTTGTAGGTGCCGGAGACGTTGGGTTTCCAGACGTGGAAGTGGATGCGGTAGGGTGCTTGAGACGGCCGCGGTTGCGGTGAGGATATGGAGTTTGAGCTCTCAGCTGTATGGGTGCTGGAAGGCTCGTGGTACGGAATCAACGCCAACGCGTGGAATAGATCGGCGTAGTTCCTGTACAAACCCGGAGCAACCAACGGCCCGAGTGAGGGACAGGACTTGCCTTGACGAGGTTGCAAGAGCCATGATACCAACCTGTGGACCAGAGATGCGAATGGCCCTCGAGATTGAGATCCGCCCGATATCGCTGTTGACGGTGCAGATGGTGCAACGGGCGGACTTGGAGCATGGTCACTGTGTCCGTTCGCTTGAGCGACATCTGTATCATTCCAGGTCGGCGCCCGCTGAACAATATATCCCGCTCTCTTGAGCCCTGCATAGACTGTGTATCGCTCCAACGTCAAGCCATCCTTGCCAATGAAGCTGGCGTAGGCGCCTTGGAGACTCATGGGGAGTTCGCCTAGGGACGGTTCCGCGCTTGAACTTGTAGCTCCCTTTTGTGGTTCAACATTTTGTTGTTCTACTGCAGCAGCACCTTCCTCCGAGGCGGTGACGTTGGAGGACCTGTACTCACTCCCGCTTGGTATACCATCATCCTCGTCATTGACGCCCGGCCATCGGATATCGAGATTTCCTCTTTCTAGCAGAAACAAAGCCTCTTCAGGCAACAGCCAGACCCAGTTGTTCCTGTCTGCCTGGCCCATGACCTTCAAATGAGGGCTCTTGAATCTGTACACCACAACGCACCGGCCATGTCTTCCTTCAGCCCCGGTACCGTCCCATCGCCAGTCACCTTCGTTTGAAAAGTACTGTCCCACGATGTGGGTTTTGCCCGTTTGAACCCGCACCGCACTGAGGATTGTGTGCATCGCCAGGCGAGACGCATCAAGGGCAGATGCCTGCGAACGTGTAGGGTTTGGTTCGAAGTCCTTTGTGCCGCGTTTGGGGATTATGGCTTGCCCGTTCTTGGACGAGGAGGTCAATTGGCTGAGGAACCGGAAATCTTGGGTTTCGTCTTCGAGGTCGTCGGGACCAGACGCGGAGGTTGAAGGGATGACATCTTCATCCGCATCTGCCATGGTGGGCAAACGGTATAGGCAGGACCTGGATGCTCACAGGTTGGGGACTTCTCTACCTCTACCATGTATCCAGGGTTCATGGGTAACCAAGCGTGGGAGGGCTGAATGGCAGAATTGAAGAATGCATGGCACGTCATGAGCACACGAGTCATTTGTCCGCAGATTTACGACTCAGGCGACCATGGACTTGGCGCGACGGACAGGGCAGCTTCTTCTCGCGTGCGATCGATTCTTGACACATAAAAGGACTTTAATACCCACACCTGTTACAATGGGTACTTCTACGATCGAGAAGGATCCCTCACTTATTGCTATAGTCGCCTCTTAACTGCTGAATGTGGCGCCCCAGAACTGATGATACGCGTGAAACCTACACGCCTAGAGACTGCTAATTTCAGATCAACAACCAGGACTGGTCTCTGATAATAGCTCATCTGGGTGCCCAGTACCCTCCTTCTGCGTCTCCATTGTCTCTGACTCCTGGGAAGCAGCTCTCTGTACTCGATATGTTACACAGCACGCATCACCTTCTCGACTCTAGTCAAACCCACGAAATGCACAAGCACAAACTCGTCTCCATTGCTGCCTAAAACTCCTTTCTGCAAATTCTTTCGCTCAAGTCTTTCAAGACAAAGGCCGCATACTTGCAATCCTCGAGATCAACATAGACTGTGGCCGACAGGCGGATCCACCAGGCTCCTCGATAGAACAGCACGTAAAAGAAGGTTCTGTATCTTTCCCCAAGCTCCTTGTTCATGAACTGAGTCATGGCCGGGACGTCTTTCAAGGACATATCGTATTCAGCCCCTTCTCCAACCGAGATGGGCAGTCGCACGTGCGCAAAGAAAACTCTGTGTGTCTCTGGTATGTCAAATGCCTCCGTCCCCAGAGTTTCCACGAGGATCTCTTCCGCTTTCTTTGCAAGAGAGGTGCAATATTCTTGGATGGCTGATTCGCCGCCACACACCTCGTTGCGGAAACGGATTGCTTCCTCGACGCAACAGTAAGGGGCGCCATCAATCGTTCCATAGTACTCAAACTGTTTCACCATGGGATTCGTTTCTTCCGAGGTAGGCATCGGATCATGTGACTGGCTGCGTCTCTGGGATTGGTACCCATGGGATGTTGGGAGCGTCGTCCGAATCAAGTGCTGGTTCCTTTTAGGGACGAATAAAGCCGCAACCGACCTGGGTACGAAGAGCCACTTGTGGCAGTTGGTGACCAGAAAGTCCGGGTCCAGCTCGGTGAGGTTGAGGGTAATATGTCCCACTCCATGCGCAGCATCTACAATGCTCAGCACACCTTCTTGTCGGCAGAGCTGTACGAGCCTCTCAAATGGCATTCGCAAACCAGGCATGCTGACCACCGTGTCGAAGACGCCTACCCGAACTCGTCCTTTGCCAGCTCTCTCGCACTTGAGTTTTTCCTCGGTCAAAGTCTTGTGGAAGAGCTCCACAATCTTGTCGTCGCTCTGAGGTAGGTCCAACTCGACCCTTACGCTCTCGGCCGGAGTTGTGTCGACGACATAGTCAATTGTTTTCTCCAGTGCCCCATAAACGCCGGAAGTATACACGATTTTGTCGCCCTCCTCCCACCGCAGGTTCTGGAGTACCGTGTTCGTGGCGGTCGTGGCATTGGAGCACAGGACCAGCTCATCGACAGGACAATGAAGCATATCGGCGAGCAGAGTGCGACTCTTCCGCAGCAGCGGAGGGTACGTGTAGCGGATGAACTTGTCAGGTTCCGCCTCTGCTGTTTCTTGATAGTGGCGCAAGGCTCGCTGGACCGAGCGAGGATAGCCGCCAAAGGAGCCTACGACACAGACGACTTGTCAGGGCCTACGATGGCGGAGTAACAGAGACACACACACTGCTGCTTTCCAGGAGAGGATGGGATGGGCAGGAAATACCGTGATTGAGATTGGTATAGTCTTCCGCGAAGAGGAAGTGTTTGTCCCTCATCGCCCTCCCAAACGCTGCTCGGGCAAGCTCATCATGGCTGTCATTGCCATTACGGGTGGCTAAGGCCCTCATCTTCATGACGAGTCCGTTGAGGTCCTCTCCCATGTTGCAGCAGCTCTTTGTTCCTTGCCAGTAACTCAGTTCTTCCTAGAAAGAGGTGCGAAGGGACGATATCAGTTGGGTAACAAAAAAGGCTCGCGCTTCTCGTGGGCTTGACGACCATGAACCAAATCGAGGACGCTGTAAACTTGGAGGGAAATAGATTGATAGCGATACGGAAGAATTTAAATAAATTATTCATTAAAAATCGTGAGTCTGCGAAGAGGTCCCAAGTGTTGCGCTCTTTGGCTCTATACGCCGTGCGCGGGTTCCTGACGAATACGCCCCGATTGTATACGCCAAGACAGACAGACAAATTGACTGGACACTTTTTTGCCTGGGACCTTGTCGGAAGGGGAAGGAAAGGGAAGGCCATCACGAGGAGGATAGTTCATGTCGAATAAAGACGTCCATACTGAGTACAGCAAGCTCATCCCCAAGGCAGGTGGCTGGCTTTGGCTCGGTTGGGTCGGAAAAATCGAGTTGTAGTTGAGCAGGTCGAAGGGCCAGTGTCAATCGCCCATCAATCGCGTTGGACTGTGATTGATTAGTCAGCGTCCATTCCTGGCTGGGTTCTCTCCCCTTTACATCCACAGCCTTGCCGTTGATCCAACATTTTTAGGTATAATCCTCCCACGACAATCAGTCCGACATTCCCAAGACCTGCTGGCCGGCGATATTTGGCAGCGTCGGGATCCCAATCGGCCTGTTCTGGTTCGCCTGGACGGTTCGGAGTGACGTCCACTGGGCGAGTCCCGTCTGCGCGCTGATCCCCTTTGCCTGGGGGCAATCTCTGTGTCTTTGTAAGTAAATCTCCCCTTCCCTTTCGCCTTTCATCAGACGAGACGGGACAGTCCAATGCAGTAGCAAAAACCGACATTTGCACTCTTTGAATTTATCTTTCTCCAGGCCTCTGCTATCATTTACCTGGTCAGCATTTACGGGCCGACGTATGGAGCCTCGGCCACGGCCGCCAACGCGTTTGCTCGGTACGGCTTTGCGGCCGCGTTTTCCCCTTTCGCCGCGCAGAGTAAGTCAGCTCTTGTCCTGTCATTCGCTATTCCCCTCTCCCGACCTTCTCAGCCGGTGTGTTAGCTAGTCAGTCAGTCAGTCAGTCCCGTTCCACCAAACACAAGATTACAGAAAGAAACATCCCAATCAACAATATACTGATATTACCGCCATCTCTTTTCTCCGCGGTACAGTGTACGAATCTCTAGGCACCGGTCCCGCCACGAGTATCTTGGGCGCCTGCTCGGCCGCCATGGTCCCTATGGCCTGGGACTTGTATCGACGGGGGCCGAGTATTCGTGCGCGGAGCCGTCGTGCCGTTTCCTTGGGGTCGTGATGGTATGGATTCATAGATATTGATAGGGCCTCCGTTGCTGGTTCACACTGTGAATGAGAATCACAGAGAGAACTTGCATACTATGTACCTAGGCTATCTAGTAGGTATGTGGATAGTTTGACGAGTTCCTTGGTATCCCGCGCAGACGTGGGTAATGACAAGAAGAGTAGATTACATGGAGAATCCATTTGCGAATACCTCGTACAAGAGAGAGAGAGAGAGATAGGATCACGTAAGGGGGCCCGTTTCTTCTCATCCCAGGCAGGCATATTGGGCTAATGTCGCCATCATCTCACGGACGGGGCAGTCGTGAATCTTTGTAAGGCTGCGCCCCCTAATACCGGGATGACTCAGCGAGGTTTATCTAAGCATACCTCCTACCTATGGCACCCATATGTTGCCTACATACTTGTAGTATCAACCTGGCACCACCAGCCCGGGCCCGGGTGGCACCACGCGTACTTGTGGCTCGGCAGTCTGGCCGAGGTTATGTTGTCTCTCTGATAGCCCAGCCGAGATAATACTTGTATAAGGCAGATACGATGTACTTGCAGCTTGATCGCTGTACTCGCATTCGTCAGACATGCATTGGTATTTGTACCAGGCCACAAACCCCTTCAGTGCCTAAATGTAGGGTTATCCGGCCACTCGCGAGATCTTGAACCCCCCCGGTACCCTCTTCTGCCAGAACCCCTCGGGATCGTACTTTCGCGCCACTTGGTTCATGAAAGCTACGTTTTCCGGGCCGTAACTCCCCAAGGGATCCTGGGTCATGTCTGCGTAGTTTGCGTACAGGTAATCCACTGTCGCGGCCTTGCCGTCCGAGGTTTGAAATCGCTTCATCTCACGAGTCATGAGCATCAGCTCTGATCTGGCCACCGACAGGGCCGCGTCCTGGCCGTTCTTGATGGCGACGAATACGGTCCACACGACGGCGTTGACTCCGTTCCGTTCGATTCCGAGCACGTTGCTCATGATCTCGTGGTGGAGGCCGAGATGAGCTTGGTGTCCAGACGAGAATGTAAGGTCCAGTGGCATTGTACCGTTCGCGGATCCAGCCTTTTGGCCCACGCTGCCGTTGCGAAGACCGAGATCGCTCAGATAGGTAGGAAATGGCTGAAGAACCGAGGATGCCATAAAGTTTTCAGACCCGACCTTCTTTGCAATATTAGAGGCCAGTTGGTCATGTAAGGAGAAAGCCTTGCGCACGATCGACGGCTCGTTAACAAAAGTCAGAGTCATGTATGCATTCCTAAGAAGGTTCGGTAGAGATCGATCAGCGTTTTATCCTTTCAGCTGTGGGGAAAGAAAAGACAGGAGAGGGTTCGTAAATGGAGAATCATACTTCGTTCCATAAGCAGCCTGGACCCCGTTGGCAGCAGCAGCAAGCGATTTTTGCTCCCAGGTTTGCGCCACGGAAGGTATTTGAGTGACTTTGTCAAAGGCTGTGGTGCTCGGATCACCCTTCGTATTGACTCGCAGAGGGAGGATGAACGGACCATCCCATATAGAGGAGTCATGGGTATGGATGATGAGCATGGTGTCGTCCCGATGGTGCTCCATCTGGTCTGTGAAATCAACAAAAGCGTCCGCTGCTTCGTCGAAATGGTCAGCTGTAATCATGGAGGTGCCTGACACCAGATCAACTGCCGGCATGGCTTCCATGTCGAAACGGGTGACGATGCCGAAATTGAGTCCGCCCCCTCGCAGGGCTTTCCAGAGGTCCGCGTTCTCTGTGGCTGTCGCTTCCACGATGCTCCCATCTGCGAGCACGACTTGGAACCCAGCAACCGTGTTGACGGCCAAGCCATAACGCGGTGTATAATACGACATGCCGCCACCGAGGAGGAACCCGCCCACCCCGACGTTTCCATCACGCCCACCGACCACCGTCACATTGCCAGTGTTGAGGAGAGTCGTGTAGACGTCTTTCCATCTACCACCCGGCTGGACACTTGCAATGTTAGTTGTGGCATTGTACTTTGCCCCGTTCATCAAGCTGAGATCAATGGTAACCCCATCCTCAATGTTGTTGGTCGCTGGAAGATGGTGTCCTCCACTTCGTACGGCGATGTGCCAACTCCCTGATCCGGAGCCATTACTGGCCAGCGCTTTGACAGTGGTAGCAACCTCCTCTGCGGTATGTGGCAGTACAAAGCAGTAAGGGTGTAGACGTCCGTTGGCACAGAAATAACTTTCCAGGTGTTGTTCGTAAGCCTCGGTCCCTACACGAATCAACCGGTCGCCCAGGCCCGCAGCGATCAAGGCATCACACTGCCAGGGCCGAAATGCTTTAGCAGAGCGCTCAGAAGAGAAAGCGAATCTTAAACTCACTGGAGGAAAGCCGGTAAATGTTGGGTCGGCGACGAGCACAGACGCCAACGTGGACCACAGCAGGAGAGCCCATCCTTTACACATGTCGACGGTGATGCTCAGCATAGGGCCTTTACGACGTATCTTGACTGCTGCACGCCCGATGCTCTGTGGGAAGTCGAGACCCTTTTCATACTCGCGGAATATCCTCAGGTCGATGAGATCCAGTCTAGCCTAGGAAATCGGAATGACGGAGCCTCGGTAGGCCAGAAACCATAAGTTTTGGTACACAAAACTTGTGGCATGACGATACCGAGGTTTTGAAGGTATACACGACTCGTAGAACTAGAGGTCTTGGATATGTTGAGATCCCCGGCAAAACTAAAACGCCCACGGCGGGGAGTCGGTTCCCCGCATCCCCAGAACCATTTGTGTACTTGTAGAATACCTGCACGTCAGATCCATCTCTTTCACATCGACCATGGTGCTGCTCCAACAAGGCACGATCTCATTCCAAGCGAGGCGTGGTTGAATCTGGCGACATGGATCTGATGAGATCGTTCAGGAGCGATTGGAGAAACTGAAAATAGTCATATGGATTCTGGGGACATTCATCGGGGTATACAAGTACAAGTACTGAGTAGAGTGAGTGCTTGTCGAGATTGGGAGTCTGGAGAGCGGAAGAGAGATTCGTAGAGGTGGCGCTCGGCAAGGCTGCCTTTCAGGGCGGGCTATTCCATATCTGTATTAGTGCATCTCATCTAGTCCATTTGGCTCGCTAATTATCATGATTCTTCTCTCCGTCGTGCCTTCTCATCATGGTTGCTCCCCTTCACCTTGTATCCTAGGCTCAAGGATACTCTCCTTTCCCGCAGCAGGCAATGAGGGACCACTCGCATCTCGCCATCAGGCTATATCCCCTGGGACCTTGCCATCTCTGAAACGCAGATCAATACTTCAGCTCCGACTGGCCCAGTACTGACTCGGTGATTAAATTGTCAAGTCTGGCCCTTGACCTCGACGGTGTGCTGCCACAATCAATGAACTGCTCGTTATCCCCAAATCCAGATCCTTCCCCTTGCATGCATTGCTAGACGCCAACGTGAATTTCTCAGCCTTCACCTCGGACCTGACCATTACTCTGCCCTTGCTCGCTGCGGTCAAGGTCGATACGGCAGAGGGGACAGGTGCTGCTCACATTCAGCAGCCAGGGATCGATGCATGCAGGATGGTATTTGTGAGAACATGGCAAAAGTCGGACCTGTTCTCCAATGCTGAAGTCCTCTGTGCAGATTGAGCACCTCAGACCTCTTTCTCCATCGAGGACAGGAGCGCCATTCAATTCTGTCAGGGTAGCACTGCTTGAGTCGTCACCACTGCATTTGGGCATTTGACCTGCGACATCTTCGTGGATTTGATTGGCTATTTTCGCATTCCCCAGCTCAACTGACTCAAGTTCAGTATTCGTTTTCTCGGTAAATCGGACAATAGGAATGGTGTCTAGGATGGCGCGAGTGATTCCTCGCGCTCGATTTCTCATCGACTGGCCAGCTGAATTTTGTGGAATGTATCGTTCTGGATGGCGATATACTCGAAGTGCCCCGACGAGGGCGATTGCTCCAAAGAAGGCAATGATGGCGCCAGTCAGGGTAAAGAGAACGATCTTGACCACGTTGGAGCTAGGGCTTTGATCGTCCTCAGTACTCCGACCACTCAGCGAGGTCGTTTTCTCTCCTTGCATGACGAGATTGGGCCAGATTCGACTGGCGTTGGTTGCTGACCCGCGCTGCGTGCCTTTACATGAGGAATCAACTCCAGTGGTCAGCTAAAAACGAGACTATGAATTCGAACAAAAAGCACCGACGGCTGCTGGCGTTTCATATATATTACACAGGCCCCCATCGGCCACGACAATGCCTTGGACGGATGGCGTTGTCTCTTGAATATGAACCTCGCCTATTCATCAGGAGATCAACACCCATCGGTGGCAGTCGTCAGTCTCCAAGCACTCTTGCCAAGTAGGGCAGTTTTCTTGATTGTCTTGCCATTCCTTGGTGCTTTTCTTGTGGCTGCCTCTGCCACATTTCAAGAATGCTTGATTGCAGTTTCAACATCTAATTATGATTTCTCGTCATCGCCAATTTCTCTGACAGCAGCTTTTCTTCACCATCGAGCAACGACACATCAGATTGCCAGAAGAAAGCAAAAACCCTCAGCAGGATCCCTGATGCACTGACCGCTATGTCACCAGAAACCCGAGTCGAAATTCAAGAGGGATTGGTTGATGGGGAGAGTGGCTGAGATTGCGCTATCAAGCTCAAGGATGTCGCCATCACGACAAGGCTTGCCAAGCTATCTCGACCAGTCCCAGAGCCCTGTATGTAAATGTCTCCATGCCACCAGTATTAATATGTTCAGCTACGTCCTCGGCGCCGCGAGAAATCTCGACATGGTCCTTCTTGGACGGGCCTCCCTTCAACATTGGCGACGCAGTCATTTGCTTGGCTGTACAACTTTCGCTGGAATGGCGCTGAAAGTTTTGGTCAAATCTGCCATGCGCACCCCCATGCCGACGATGAATTTGCTCTTGGCTCTCGTCTATGATGAACAAACATCGGAAGAGTTTGGCGATCTAGATGGGGATCGCAATGGCGTGATGATGATCCGTTTGTGATTGAATTTCTACAAGAACAATGGTTTGCTCCTCTTCAAAGTCTCTGCTGGCAGGGCAAAGGCCTTTTGGACCAGTTTTCAATACTATCCTGCAAAGATGTCTGATTTTGATCCCAAGACGACAGAAGTCGTCAATGAATTTCCTCCCGTTGGTGCAAATGGCGAGGCTCTTTTGCTGGAGCGTGACTGGACACTAGAGGAAGAAGTCAAAGCGAAAAGGAAGTCAGTGTTAATACATCACAAGTTTGGTCGATACTGGACAACAAGGACTCTGCTGACAGGACTACCTCGGGCAGGATGGACTTCATCATCATGCCACTCCTCACGCTGGGCTTCTTTTGCCTTCGTACGTCTGCATCCTGACCCCTCGTCAAATTTTGTGGCTGACTCTGAGCTTCTTCACAGAACTTGACCGCGGGAACATGGCCAATGCCATCACAGACGACTTCATGGAGGACGTGGGCATCACCCAAAACCAATTCAACGTGGGCCAACAGATGCTGTCCCTGGGCATCGTGCTATTCGAGATTCCCTCCAACATGATTCTGTACCGGGTCGGTCCTGGCAAGTGGTTGACACTTCAACTGTTTCTATTCGGCACCGTTAGCACGTTTCAGGCCTTCCAGAAATCCTACGGCTCTTTCATCGCCACGCGTTTTCTCCTGGGAATAACAGAGTCGGGATTCATCCCCGGTGGTCTGTGGACCCTCTCAACTTGGTACACCCGGAAAGAAACTGCGAAGCGTGTTATGATATTCTACTTTGGCAACCAATTCGGTCAAGCATCCGCAAAGCTCCTGGCATATGGCATTCTTCACATGCGCGGCGTTGGCGGTAAATCAGGCTGGTTCTGGTTGTTCGTCCTGATGGGCAGCTTTACCGTTCTCAGCGGTCTCATTCTGGGATTTTTCCTGCCAGACTCTTTCAAGAACCCTCGCAGCACATTCCTGCCCAACGTCAAGATCTTCACAGACCGAGAGATCCATATTCTCAACACTCGAGTCATGATTGACGACCCGATGAAGGGGAAGAAGAAGAAGCGCATCGGTCGACTCGCGTTCAAGAAGGCTGTAAGTCCACTAGATGATGATGTTCCATTTGACTCGTTCTGACACGATGCGCAGTTCTCACATTGGAGAATGTGGGTGCATGTTATCATCACCCTGGCAAACAATGGGCCGCAACGCGCCTTTGACACCTACGCCCCGACGATTGTCAGAAGTTTCGGCTTCGCTGCGCTGTCGTCCAATGCTCTTGCCTCTGTTGGTCTGTTTTTGCAGATTCCGGTGTCGTTTTCATTCAGTTATGTGTCGGATCATTTGTAAGTCGTCTGGAGCTCTCATGGATTGTTCGTACCCTGACGTGTAACAGCTCGAGGCGCGGTGAGACAGTCATTGCTGGCCTTAGCATGCATCTCCTTGGGTACATATTCAACCGCATCTTCACTGAAATCGACAATCGAGGGGTCAGGTACTTTGGTGTCGTCTGGACACAGACCTTTGGCACTTTTTCACACCCTCTGAACATTACCTGGATGTCGCTCACTTGCGAAGACTCGGAGGAGAGAGCCCTTGCGATGGCCATGTATTCCTCTCCTTGAACCGTGAATGAAAAGAATGTTGGCTAACGTTTTGTAGGGTCATCATGGGCGCGAATATCGCCGGCATCTATGGAGCTCAAATCTTCCGGCAGGACGACCGTCCGCGATATCGCCGCGCTTTCAGTGTCAACTGTGCGGTACTGGCCGTTGGCCTGGGGCTTGCAATTGGTCGACACATCGACGATTTGATTCGTCGTCGTCGCGGCCTTCGTCGGTTCTCCGCTGTCCGCGATAGTAACAGACATCAGTCGGTCGAGATCTTCGACAACGAGAAGAATGCCGTTGCACCTCCACCCAGCGAGGATCAGCCAGGACCAATCCTCCTCGAGGGAGGTAAGAGGCCAGTCGTCTCCAACGGGCTGAGCGGCACCACCTGAGGCAACAGGCTGAGGCCAAGCCGATCGTCCCCACCGTATTAAGGTTCGAAGACAGGCATGGGTCTAGAGGGTATATCATGTGGAAACACTCAATGACCTGACATGAGACACGAGGTTTCGGATCGGGTAGAGATATTTGGACACCGATACTAGACACGGATGAGGTGTGTGGGCAGAGATGCCTCTATGGATCAGGTAGCTTCTACAGGAGCTTAGCACATAGAAAATGAGTATGTGACGAACTGAATCCCTCCGTTGTCTACTGTGTGAGATACTGACAGACCTATGTAAAGTGGGAGATAGGAACCTCACATGACCATCTCCCTGCCTGGAGCCGCTTGGAGCCGCTCAGATCTTTGAGGGGGAATGATAACCCCCGGAAAAGAGTTCTGGGGAGCATACAGTTCAATCTCACAGTCTACATGACACGGTCACGGTTGGACTGTCAAACTGTCAAGAGTCACAGGGCCGACCTGTCGTTGGGTTGCGTATATCCACCCTAGTGAGCACGCAACTATTGCGCGATGTCATGAATTTGAAGGTGGATCGGAACGCGACGATACTGTCACCGGGTGGGCTTTCGTCGCTCACGATATGGTACAGTATGACACTGCGCAACAAGTAAGTGTCATATCAAACCATGCCAGAAGGTTGTGGCCATGTGAGGAGTCGATGCAGTTACAGGCAGAGATAGACCTGCGACCCGTTTGACTTGACAATGCAAAGCTCTTCATGCACAGCGGGATGGACACACTGTAGATATTGACCTTCTGGCCCGCACAATACACTGGAGGTATGACGACCTCTCTCGTGGACCTCTTGGGTCTTCTTCATTTTCCCTTCTGTAGCGCGCGTAGGCGAGTGCGGAACAGAACTGAGTTCGATCTCACCCTTTCCCCTCCAGTCCTTCGCTGGGCTTAGGTCTAGCCTTTTGCCCTGCAATCAGGTTTGTTTGGTGGAGGTTTTGTGACCTATGGTCAGTCAGTCAAAGAGACAACGCAGCTCTGGCTATTACTCGAGACATCAATCAATCCAAACCTGAGTCAAGCATGGAGGAGACACATTAGACGCCTGATGTCGAGCGTTTTCGAACGTTGACAGGGTGACCTGGACTCGGTGACCAACTGAGCCGACGGCGCACTCTGAGAAAATGAGGCCGTTCTCTCGCATAAATAGATCCAGCGCGAGATGATTTCCACAGCACAGAGAGACCCCTTCTCCCTGCCATATCCCCTCAAATCTCCTCAGTCATTGAGAGACATCCTTTCCCAACATGTGCGAAACTGCGTGCATGACCTTTCGGTCGTGCAGAAGAAATCCTTCACACGTAATCCGTGGAAACCATATTCGATGCGCGAGAGCAATGGCCCGTCCAAGGCAAAGGGTTTGTCTCCCTGCTAGTGGAACGCTGAGGGACTTGCCATTGTCCCTTGATGCTCGAGACACCAATGTAAGAGGCGAGTGCCCGGTTTGTCGCCGAAGGACACCGTCCGACTCTTCAGATTCTGCTTAGCTGTGAGGGCCCCCAGCGAACGTAATGGCAGCGCCGGCGTGCGTAATTGGAGGCAGGTTCATTTTAGTTTGTTTGAACAGGCTAACAAGTTCAAAGTTTCAATCATCAGCTCTCGGGAAATTCGGTGGGAGGAAAGGAAAAAAACCACATGCATCACATACAACTTGTCCCCTTTTCTCTTCACCTTGAACACTTCATACTTGATCACCCCAAGGTCCACTGTGGGATGTTCTTTGCAGTACAAGTCGAAAATGATGTGCATCTTGACCGACTCATTGGGAGCCATGAGACGAGAGCAAAAGTCGCCTTCAGGGTCTATACCAGACTGTTGGAAGAATTGGTCAATGATGGCTTCTTCTTCCAGCTAGTAGTCCTCATGAACACGAAAAACGATTCGCTAGGGCTCCATGCGCTGCATTGGGAGGAGGTAGTTTGAGGCCATAGCGCTAAGCTCGGATGGGCCGAAACTTCCAGAGACGTCGACAAATCAGAGCGAACCTTAAAAACCCGTAACACAACTTATTATTGACCTACACTAGTTCGGTGCTGTATAAAAGCGGTCGCGTGAGAGGAGGGGAGCCACCAAGGAGCCCCGTACTTGATCCCGCCAAGGAGCCTCCAAGCTGGAACCCCCAGAACTCGGAACCCTGAAGCGCCGACTGCGCCATCCCACTTGTGCCTTGCGAGAATTTCCAATGTCCAAATAATTAATTGCCCCAGACATTTTTGTTGCCATGGATCTGGGTGAAGCTGGTGCCGCGCCAGTCATCCTGGCTGACTGGCTGGATCGCCTCTTGATCTACTGGCATGAGAACCGTGCTGTTGTGTCCACCCTCGTCGGGCTCTGTGTTCTCGCCGTTGTCGTGCAACGCAGACATGCTTCCAAGAGTGCACAGCACGGCTCTCCAACCCTGGAGAAGGCAGCGTGGCTCGCCCCAAAGGACCATGCCCCCGTCCAGACTGGAAAGGATCAAAGGCTCCAGAGTCCTTCGAGAATCACCCCTTCGCTCACGTCTGGCCAGGCTCGAAAACCTCGAACTCCGGCCGCTGCAGCCCGTGTGGTGACTGGCCGCAAGCCAGCGAGTTCGAGAGGACAGGCGGCGCTGCAAAGACGACGAGAGCCGTCTCGCATGCAGCCACTGATCTTCTTCTCGTCCTTGACTGGGACTACTGAACGCCTCGCGAAGCAGGTCGCGGCGGATCTTGAGGGAGTCTCAACCGCCTACCCCGCGATTCTCAGGCCTCAAGTATACGATCTCTCATATGTTGACCTCGACGACTACTTCATCTCAGGCCCCAAAACTCCCGTCCCGAGTGCAGATGTCTCGTACTTCTACCTCCTCCTGATACCCTCCTACGACATTGACACCATTCTGAACACCTTCCTTGCCCACTTAGACGAGACGCACAATGACTTCCGCATTGACACTGCACCCTTGTCCACATTGGCAGGCTATACAATATTTGGGATCGGGGACAAAGAAGGGTGGCCCACCGAAGAGAAAGGGTTTTGTTCACAGGCTGTAGAGGTGGACAAGTGGATGGCCAAATTAACAGGTCGGAAGAGGGCGTACCCCTTGGGACTCGGTGACGTGAAAAGCAATGTCGACAAGTCGCTGAAGGACTGGGTAGGTGGCGTCTGCAGCGTCCTCAAGGAGGTGAGCACGTCGGGGGCGCTGGGTGAAGGCGTTCCTGGCAGCGGGGAACCCGTGGAGAGCGGTGACGAGGAAGAGCCAGAGGATGGCGATGAAGAGACCGACGAATTCCCTGACTCTGGACGCAACAAGAGGCGAAAGCTTGCAAATACCACCGATCTCGAGGACGTGGGTGGGAAGGCCAATTCCTATACGTCTCCAATCGCCATTGACTTCACCACCTACAGCTCTCGCCCTTCGCCAGCAACGACTCTGAAGGCCATGGTCCCTAAGGAATCCCCTACTCATGCAGCTTTGACCAAACAGGGCTACACCATCGTGGGTACCCACTCGGGCGTGAAAATCTGTCGCTGGACCAAATCTGCTCTTCGCGGCCGTGGATCCTGCTACAAGAATTCTTTCTATGGCATTGCGTCCCACCTGTGCATGGAAACTACTCCCTCGCTATCATGCAGCAACAAGTGCGTCTTTTGCTGGAGGCACGGCACCAACCCGGTGTCGACGACTTGGCGCTGGCAGGTCGACGATCCCAAGTTGATATTCGACGGTGCAAAGGAAGGCCATTACAAGAAGATCAAGATGATGCGCGGCGTTCCTGGTGTGCGCGCCGAGAGGTTCGAAGAGGCCATGCGTATTCGACACTGCGCTTTGAGCTTAGTAGGCGAACCGATCTTCTACCCTCGCATCAATGAGTTTGTGGGCCTCCTGCATGGAGAGAAGATATCGAGTTTCCTGGTCTGCAACGCCCAGCATCCGCAACAACTGCGTGACCTGCGCCGTGTGACACAACTATACGTCAGCATCGACGCCAGCAACAGAGACAGTCTGCGCAAGATCGATAGGCCTCTGCACCGGGATTTTTGGGAACGGTTCAATTCGTGTCTGGACATTTTGCGGGAGAAGCGGTTTGTACAGCGCACCGTGTTTCGGCTTACGCTCGTCAAGGGGTTCAACATTGAGGACGAAGTCGAGGGTTATGCTCACTTGGTGGCCAAGGGACTACCCTGCTTTGTCGAGATCAAGGGTGTCACAGTAAGTCTCTGCCTGTCCGAAAAGGATATCCATCTCTTACGTATCACATTTCTTCCGAGGCGCAATTGAGCTTTGTGGCGTCTTCCGCTCTATCCCTTTTGGAGGTATGCTAACATATCTCTTCCCCCGACAGTACTGCGGTACGAGTTCCTCGGCCGGAGCGGGCTTGACGATGCAGAACGTCCCCTTTTACGAGGAAGTCGTCGCGTTCGTCGAGGCGCTGGACAAGGCCCTCGCGAAGAGGGGACTCGAGTACGGCATCGCCGCCGAACACGCACACAGCTGCTGCGTGCTGATTGCGAGCAAGCGCTTCCTCATCCGCGACAAGTGGCACACCCTCATCGACTACGACAGGTTCTTCGACCTGCTGCAGAGTTCCACCGATTTCACGCCCGAGGATTACTGCAAGGCGACGCCCGAATGGGCACTCTGGGGCAATGGCGGGTTCAATCCCAGAGACGAGAGGGTGGATCGAAAGGGGAGACCGAAGGAGAAGAAAACAAGTGGTGGCGACGATGACGGTACTGTCAGTGAGGCTCGAAATGGAATAAAAGTTGGAGAGCAGAAGGCCGACCTGGACTTTTAAGTCTCGTCCATGCCTGTACACCCTTGCAAGCAAGCTATGTATGGTCTGGTCTGGTCTTTGCTGAGGAAGCCTTTTTTCCATCATTGACTGTTGGCTGTTGGCTGTTGGCTACTTCTGTCAGCTATGCTATGCTATGCTATGCTCCGCCTGAGAGCCCCTGACATTGCGTCATGTTTGATTCACGCAGCAATCAGCATTCGGCATTCAGCGCGGTTGATACCTTTAGGAGACCGTGCGCCAGCAGACAGATCACTTATCCGAATCATACTGTACCGTACCGTACCCTCTTTCAATGTCCCAGCACAGCACAGACCAGCACATATCCTTCCTTGTTGGTTGAATGGACTGACATTATGAGCTCTCTTGTGATTTTTTTTTTCTCTCCTTTTCATAGTTTCATCTCAGCCAGCCCAACGTAAACCCCCCCCCCCCCTCTCCCTTCCCTGATAACAGCCACCTTGGGTAGCATACCTCGCCCGAAAACGATCAGGGTCGGCGCACGAGATTATCATGGTTGGATTCTGTTCAGCTGTTTCCATTTCCCTGCATGCTTTCTGCTTGCTTGATTGATTGATTGTCTGATCGATTCGTTTTGTCAGTTGGCCAATAAAATCTCCGAGTTGCTGTTGTCGAGTTTCAAGCCCTTCATGTACACATGCATGTGATACCGCGCGTATGCCCAGCATCATTAGACGTCTGCGTCAATGACAAGCTCATTTTGAAGTTTTTCTCAGGACATTCTTGACCGGATATCGTATCGTGCTCAATGTAGGTTTGGGTTTGGGTTTGGATCAGGTACATGATTTAATGTGCATAATAACCCTGGCTCGCCCGGCACTCTTGCAATAGTTTGGCGCGGGGACGAAAGTCGCTCAACGGACCTGCTGGATTGGAGATGTCGTCGTCGGCCTTGACCCCGTCAGCGTCGGCTTGCTGAGACTTGGACTTGGATTCGCCACGCGCACGCGCTGGGTTGTCGTTGAGCGGCTTGATCGGGACGGCGAAGCTGGGGTCCTCGACGCCGTCCATCTCCCCGATCGACTTGACCTTGTCGAGTGGCCCGTGGACAACAACATCCCCCAGATCCTCCTCGTACAGCTTGAAGAACGGGAGGCCCAGCTCGGCGTAGGTTTCCATGGTGATTGGCGTTTCTGGGCGTGGGAGACCCGTGACACTCTCAAAGGCGTTGGCGTTCAGGATCTGGACATTGAAGGCAACGGTGGCGGTCTTGTGCTACGTTTCTGCGGGCCAGTCATCACACACGATCCGTTGCTCGATGTTTCCACCCGCAGCGATGCCCATTTCTTTGGGTTTGGGTTTTGGCTTCGCTGCTGCTGGGGGCCCTCCTCCTCCTCCCGTCAATCTCTCAGAGAGGACAACTGCTCCCCCCGTCAGGTAGTCAGCGCGCAAAGCCATTAGTGATAATGCTGGAAAAGAAGTCACTGGAGCTTACGCATTCGAACAGCCCACAAGAAGCGATGAGGCGGTCTGGGTATTCGTTGTGGTTAGCATGGTTTACTCAAGCTGACGGAGAATTCTCACCATCTAACATCTGTTCATTTCGATAGAGAAGTCTCTGAGTCGCAGTCGGCATGCCCATGATTGTACATCATTTTCTTTAAGGTGGCCGAATGTTGAGTCCAAAGGAACGCAGACGTCGTACTTTTTGCCAGTGAGAAGAACAACCGACACTCGAGTGCTACCAGAGGATCCCACCACCGCTGGAGTGATCTCAATTTGCAGGCCCCCGTGTACTTCGTGACCAGTGACTTGTGCTTCGACCGTATATCCCTCACCTAGTCGCGTGGCCACGAATTGCTTGACTACTCCATTGCCAGACGCGATGCCGTCCAGCCAGCACTGACCCGGGACGATCACATAATCTTGAATGAGTTTTCCCTGAGATCTTAGGAGCTGGCGACGTGCTTTGGTAGACGCGTCTTCGGCAGCAGTTTCTCCAGAGATGGCGTTGACGCAGCCGACGTACACCTTGACGGCAAAGGGCGGGTTGGCAGTGAAGCTGATCCACATTGCTCCGCGTTCTGGGAGACAGGTCAGCTTTGATAGAGGCGCAAGTGGAATAGAATGTACATACGGTACACGGGCAAGAAAACTCCGCCTTTCGCGACCATTTCAGGGGAAAGGGAATCCGCGTAGTCTTGAACCTTGTAGAGAGGAAAGTTACCCAGGTCTGGAGGCAGTTGAGATGTGCCAGAGTTGTCCGGAACTCTGACCGTGCGCTTGAAGCAGACATTGATCTTTTCATGTCCGGTCCGACGACTGACGCGGACGGCATCGTCGCGGAGTTGACCAGTCGTACAAGTACCCCGTCATCGCGTCGGAGATATTTGGTACAGACAGGTGTGTCAGCGATGGCAGGAGAAGATCTGTTCGAGAGCAAGTTGTTTGACCGCGGCCTGATAATGGTAAGGTGAACGTGATGATAAGGACGAGGATAAAGTGAAGGGGGGATGACCGTTAGAGAGTAGAGTTGTGTTGTTCGGCATTCAAGGATCGCGCTTCGTTCGCGAGAGGTTGAAGGAGGAGAGAGGGAAAAAAAAAGCGAAGATGAAAGATGGAGACAGGATGAAGTGAGATTGAAGATGAAAATAAAAGATTTGACATGAGTTGATGAAGAAAGGTGCGGCAATTGCTTCCTGGTATGATTGCTCGATGCTTCTACCGCCATACTGAAGGCTCTCTAGATCCTCTCACCATCTCTTTAGACATTCCTTCCACCGCTGTATCCATCTATTGTCTCGTCTGTACAACGCCACATCCCCATCTGGGTCTTTCATTCGATACCGGGCAAAGGTAGTCCATTCGAGGTTCCATTTGAAGTTGCTCTGAAGGTTCTTCGCTGCTGATAGGGGTCGGTCTGGCTTCAATAAGGATTGCTTTTAGTAGGTCCAGGATGCGTCTTGCAGTGATTGAACCGAGATTCGCGGCGTTGACCTCTCCTCGATATCAGATCGATCATTGGTAGATGTATTGGACCGGAAACGCACTGGTTGCCCAGAGACAGTCCCTGTCTACAATCTTGCTTTCACAGTGCCTTCAACCTCCTGAGCATCCCTCTTCGCCCACTCCTTCATCAATTTGCGCACAATCTTGCCGCTGGCCAACTTGGGCACTTCATCGATGAATTTGACGCCACCTGCCAATCGTTTGTGCCTAGCCACTTTGCTTGCCACAAAAGCCTTGATATCCTCCTCGGTCGTCTTGCCCTTGGCGCGTTCTTGTAGAACCACATAGGCTCGTGGTAGCTCTTCGCCGTGGACAGTGATGCCCACGGCGGCGGCATCGGCGACATCTTCATGCTCGAGCAGGACAGCCTCTAGTTCAGCAGGTGCCACTTGCAAGCCGTTGACCTTGATGAGCTCCTTCTTCCTGTCGACGATCCACCACTTTTGGTCCTTGCAGACGGCCACATCGCCAGTCTTGAACCAGCCGTCCTCTGTCTTACTCTCTTTGGTGGCTTGTTCGTTTCTCCAATAGCCAAGTAGCATCTGTGGTCCCCTCAGCCAGAGCTCACCCGGTTCGCCTTCCGCCGTCACTTCGTTTCCTTCCTCATCCATGAGCTTCGCCTCGGTGTTGGGTAGCAGATATCCGATCGAGCCCGTCAGATCTTTTGTCATTCCTGGCATCATGATGCCGGCACATGTTGTCTCGGTCATACCCCAGCCCTGAACGACGACAACATTGAATCTCGTCATAATCTCATTTTGCAAATCACTCTTTAGCGGTGCTGCGCCGCAAAGAAACTGTTTGAGGCTGCTGAGGTCGTATTTGGCCGTTTCAGGTCGTTTGCTCAACATGACAAGTACGGGTGGTACCAGCTGGAGTGTTGTGATCCGATATTTTTGAATGTATCTTAGGAAATCTTCGTACACAAACTTAGGCATGACATAGACGGGGACTTGAAGTCGGCATGCGATGTTGATGGTCCACAGCTGCGAGTAGGCGTGATACAAGGGAAGAAATGCAAGCCAGCGCTCAGGGCCGGGATTTTGTTCAGAGTACTGAGTGCCCTCGTACTTGTTGAAGATGGTTTGCGCCGCGTTCGAAATGAGGTTGCGATGCGTGATGCACACACCCTTGGGTAGGCCAGTGGTCCCGCTCGAAAAATTGATGGCGGCAACAGTTTCCAGGGCAGCCTCCCCCTCAAGAGGATCCCATCTCCAAGACTCAGCTTCCGATTCTGAAGCGACCATAGACCGCCAATCCTTGATACCTTTCGTGACTGGGGACTCAATGTCAGAGAAGAGAAAAAGCCTCTCTGATGGAATATTGGCTTGTTTGGCCGCAGCCACACCGGTATCGAGCAAGGACGGATGGATGAGCACAATCGCCGCTTCAATTGCCTTCATCTGATGGGCGACCTCGTTGACTGTATAGATGGGATTGGCGCCAGTAAAGAACCGCTTGGACCCAGCCGCGGCGAGATACGCCATTGGGACATAGAGATGGTTCGGCGTGAAGACCATGACTGCTTGTTGCTGTTTGACGCCCAGTCGGTCCAGCCCAACCGCAAATCTCTTGACCCATGATAGCATCTGGGCCGGCGAGAGACTGTTGGAGGGATTCTCAGCATCCATCCATAGTGGCTTGTTGGATGGCGTCTTCTCTGGGGGAAAGACGTAGGAGAGAATGTTGCATTTTGGAATATCCAGGGGAGGGTAAGGACTCGCGTAGGGCATTTTTGCGGCGCCGATTCTGGAATTCGAGTAGATCAGCTAGAGAGGCCGATTGTACAGGTATAGATTCGAGGAAAGGAAATCTTGGAGGAATATCAATTGTCAAGGGGGCGGCATGAACATAAAGCCGACTCCGCGCCGTGCAAAGTGGGCGGGCTGGAGATAGACATTTAGGACCGCCCTCGAAAGCTGGGGACGTGATAGGCATTCTGGAGGCCGCACAACGATTTCCAGGCCGCATGTCGATTTCCGTGGCATATAACCTCGGTCGAAGTTGGATGGGGTCGTAATGTGGAGGTTGGAAGCTTAATGGGAGGCTTGGCCGGGAAAGGACGGCAGCGCAGAGAGCGCAGTTTGATTAATGAATCGTCTCGGAGAAGTCAGTGGTTCATTGTCCGAGGTTTGCTGAAGTTCATAGTCGTCGAAGGTGTAGTGAAGGCCAGAGGGGTCGATGCCATGGCAGGTAAGCTTGCACGAGTCGTGGATATGCGACTCTGAGGATTTCCAATGAGTCTTGGTGCCGAGTATCTGTTGTACTTGTAGGCGGAGTGGAGGTGGAGATGGACACGGACACGGAAACGAGGAGATGCGGGCAGCTGCAGCATCGCGTCACACTCTCTTGTTGCTTGGCCATCACGTGTTCCCAGCCTTGGGTCACCTCCGAGGCCCTCATTTATCAGGTCAACAGTCGCAAATCACTCCTTGTATTCTGTTCTAGTCCTCACAGTGGTGCTAAAGCATTCAAATCGCTGGTGAGAGTTTGCAACAAGGTCTGCAGATACGTGTCGAGGTAGGAAAAGCGGCTGCACAACTGTGCAAGCTCGTCTTCCCGGTACGTGTTGCCCGAGTCCCAGTGGACCGGATGCTCTGCCTTCTGGATCTCGGTGAGAAACCATCCTCGAGTATTTCCATCACAACACATGGTGCCAACAAGAAGCACCCACAGGTGGACCTCTCCATATCCGACCCAATCCTCGCTTCTCATTGCTTCAAGTCGACGCTTCAGTTTCGAGGCGAGGACTCTGCATGTTCGACGGCGACCCGTCACGGTCATCACCATGAATAGCCATGCGATCAAGACAATCCTAATCGCGTCCACTTTACCATCATCAGTCTCGAGTTCCAGAAGTCGGTGCCTGAGTGCACTTGTTCGGAGAAGGAGCCAATGAAGGGTTGACTTAGATCCAGCAGGATTATTTGGGTTTGAAGCTTGTGTTCCAGATTGACGCTGCATGGCATTCACCACCGCACCCAAATCCAGGAGCACTTGATACATCTGGGCTGGCAGAATCTCAAAGTGGCGTGGTTCCTGAAACCATTTTGCTGTGGAATCAGTCTGGTCACTGATAATGTCCCCGTGTACCAGTTCTAGGTCGCCCGGGTCGAAGCAAGAAGCAGGAAACACTGGCTTATGGAGGAGTTCCGCTGCTAGGTAGCCATCCCCAATCACAATCCATTCGCGTAGTGAAGGGTCAATTCGTTCAATGCCCCCGATATGCGAAAGAAGACTTTTGACTGCCGTGAGATGGATGAGAGCCGACTGAAGTTCATATCGGTAGAAATCTGTCACGGCCATTTGGTGAATGTCGAATATAAGCCTCTGGTCGATTGGAGGCGAAGACCTGAGATGCCGACGAATAGCGACGATGGCTTTAGTTGCCATTTGACTCGTGGTCTCATCTCGGTGCATCAGCTCAAAGTACTGCATTTGGCTGGCCATGGAAGCCAACAAGGTATAGAAATGTACCTCGTTTTCAAGACATCCCTTGACCAATGGAAAGACGTCCTTCTGAAAGGTGTAAGTCCGATCATTTTGCACTTCCGAATGCCATGTCCTAGGATGAGAAACATGGACGAAATACTGCAGCAGAGTATGAGCCTTGCGATCCACATTGACCACGGTCGATACAAAGGGGTCGATGATGCGCGATTCGTCTGCAGGCACACGAGGAATGGTTTGTATGTCAGGTCTCTTGCTGGTCCCAGCTTTGAGACCCGGGTTGACTTGGATGAATGGCAATTGCTCACTCTTGTGGATTTTGGGATGGAGCGACAATCGTCGGCGATGCATGCTGTCGATCTGGACATGACGGTGGATCAATCGTCTCTCCTGATCACTGCTTTTGGAGAGTGACTGGGATTTGGGATCCTTGACCACGAATAGATATCGGGACTCACCCATGTTGATCTCCGCCTGTGTCAGGGTCCACGAGACTCATTACCCGCTCGTGGAGAAAGTGACAGGACGAGGGAGTAGCCGAAGAAATGGTGGTTGATCATGACGATAGTGGTGGCAGAGGCCTGTTCTTCATTTTTTCTATCAGCTTGTAAAGCGGCGGCTTCCTCGTACCCGAGTAAAGCAGCAGCCACTGTGACCAGACCAGAGGGTGAATCGTGAAGACACGATGAACAGGCCAAGCACCTACGAGTACGCTGGGCTGTTCTTAAGCTTAACTATCGTCTCAAGCTTAACCAGGGGCCACCAGGCCAAGCCGCCTACAAGTTGTGCGCCTAGGCCCTGGCCACTCAGGTGACCAACCTCTATGCTTGCAGGTCTAGATTCTCGGGGAAGCACCCACTGGCCACCTCTCTGTCCCCTCACTCGATTTAGATGTGCGAGTCCTCAACTTAAACCTGGACCAACCGACCTCCCCTGTCGTCCCTCACCCACCTCAATGATGAATGGACGGTATGAGGCTCGCCGCTTCTATGCCGTGAGGCCTGTGACGCACTTCACAGCGTGCACGGAGCGATAAGATGGCGATGCACTCCCTACAGTGTCGGACAGCCCGTGCTCCTCCAAAATCACAACTCAACACAAGTTGAACCTTCGGCGTATCTCTCAATGGCGGCAGTGACTTCACCAACAGATACGAAACCTCTTCCTCCTACTGTGGGTGCCATCCAGGGCTCGATCCCCCAGTCCATGCTGGGCTGGCTGCGCGAGACTCCAAGTGAAACTCCGATCGAGGAGATCCGTCGTCGCTTGTTTGAGGATGAGTATGTCTTTGTGAAAGGACTCGTACCGCGCGACGACGTTTTGAAGATGCGAGAACACTATTTTGGCCAATTCAAGTCTTTGGGTTTGCTGAAGCCTGACACAGACCCGGTCGACGGTATCTACAACATGGCCGAAGATATCTCGCTGCACAATGGAATCGGTGGTGGAGGTCCAGCAGGGCACGACGAATTGGAGCAGCTTGTGAAAGCTCATGTCCAACAACCGTACCTAGACTTTGTGGCGCACCCGAAGTTGCGCGCGATGGTCCGCAATATCATGGACTGGGAGGAGGAGGTCCTCGTCAAAAGAACTATGCTTCGACACAATATCCCCGGAGGTCAAAGCACTGGCGTTCATTACGATAAGCTCTTCCTTCGCGGAGGCCACGCGTTCTTCCTAACGGCGTGGGTGCCCATTGGGGATATCACTGCCACAGGAGGTGGGCTTGTCTATCTCGAAGACAGCACCAATCTCGGCAAGGCCATTGAGGATGATTTCGAGGTACGCGCCAAAGACTTCACCGTCGAGGAGAAGATTTCAGCGTTCAATCGCAATATGTCTGCCACTGGCGTTCTGTCGCTGGATCCAATGGTTTTCCAACAAGACAATGAGCACCTCGCCAGGAAGACGAAGTACCATTGGCTTGTTGCGGATTACGAGGCCGGTGATGTGGTCTTTCATCTGCCATACACCATCCACACCGCAACTGCTAACGCCGACCCTACTGGCCGCATACGCCTGAGCACTGATCTCCGTTTCTATGACAAGAAAGATGTTGAGGCGAGCAGTACAGACCAACGTTGGAATAAATATTGGACTCCAGATGATGGGCTTTGAGTGGTTGTGAGCATGGACAGCATGGCAGTATGAGATTAGGCCTTTGCCAATACCATGGCGTCAGGAATGGGTACTCACTGAGCTTCTTAACCAATATTTCACATATTCTAGCTCACTGTCTTCCTACTATCTCGTAGTCTCTACTCATGTTGTCCCGGATGCTTCACAGTACTGTACCCAAAGCATGCACAGCAGCAAATTTGCGCACTTGAAGCTCCTTAGGTTTCTGTAAAATCCAACAATGTCCTTGTGGCACTGCTCCAGATACGAATACGAAATTTGGGAGATCGTGTGGCGGAGCATTTTCGAGGTAAAGTGAGTCTACAAGGCTTGGTCGATCCATGAACTTGGCCAAATCGCCACTCGAGTAGTTACATGTTCACCAGGCATAAGGCCCCTTGGGGCCCCTCTCCAAGATCTTCATCGATGCTGCCAACATACAGGGTCGATCACTCTCTCACAGCCATGATACTTCACCTTGCTGGCCCTACCTTAACTTCCCGTGCGGTTGGACACCCTCTAGCATAAAAGCCCGGATCCCACTACCCGAGTACCCCATCTCCCATCTCCCAAGATGCAAAGACATTGACTCTGGCGAATCAATTCGAAAATAGTTATACAAGCACACTCAAAATGAAGAATCCCTTCAAGAGACATCAGGAACAGGATAGCCTGGGGTCAGATCTTGCGCCAGACGAGGATGTCAACGACCACAGTTTCCAATCGCAGCCTGGCTCGGAATCTCGCACCATGTACGTCGAGTACGCGGATTATTGGAATCAACATACGACAATCAGTGTTCTGGACACAGACAAGACAACCACCATATACACGGCGGACGCGAGATACCGGAAACCGCAGATGAGGATACACTCCAACACCACCAACGCCGAAGTGGCCACCGTCGACTTCCACTCATTGACCACGCGGATGGACCTGAAATTCCGTGGGCAGCCACTCACACTGGAATCGTCCGGGTTCATGGCGACCCAGCACTGGTGGGCGTCCCCCGAACTTGGTGGGGAAAAGATGACCTGGAAACCCCGGTCGAAGATTGACGATTTGAACATCGTGCTCTTGGATGGTCAAGGCATAGCCATTGCCAGATACAAGCCGAACTACAAGAGTATGAAGCGTGGTGGCAGCCTGGAAATGCTCGCTCCATGCTGGAGAAGCGAAGCATTGATGGAAGAGGTCATTGTCATGCTTCTGGCGGTGGTACATTACAAAGAGAGCCAAAGGATGTCTGCAACCTTGACAGCAACAGCCTCAGCTTAGGAAAGAGGCCTGCGTCGGGGTATTAACAGACATATGAGATTGAGGCGGTCTGTAATAGAGCTCTGAGACAACTCAAGAGATCCTTGTGGAAGTGGAATGTTTATCGCCCCATATTGTGTACGGTGCAGTTAGTCATGCAGAGACATTCACACCTAGAGTCTGAATGAGAGCAATTTCACAAAAGATCGGGACACGTATCTTGCGCTGCCTCGTATTCAGACGAAGAATAAACCGAGACGGCGCCGACGACGATGACGTAGTGGTGCGGAAAGTGATGGTAAGCGGTCGATTGTCCGACATGCTCCAAGCTCCAAGCACCACAGGGACCAGTTTCTTTACCTAATCACCTGCTTCAATTTGACCCCGACATTTGCTCCGCCTAGAAGGGTCCAGGGGCTGATGAAGGCTTACTGCACGAATCGGCGCTGGCACAGCGGCCGCTCATCCTGTCGATTTTCAACATGGAAGGCAGAGGCAGAAGATACAATTTCGGGCACATCATCACCTACACTTTATTTGCGTTCTACAGTACTCGTACAGATGTCCAGGAATCGGTGCAAAGTGGTAATTTTCAGGGACACTCGTGTCCATTCCTAACTGTCCCTGCGTCTCTCCAGAGCTGCTGGGTACCACAAGACTGAAACGGGGCTCAAACTAATATACAATGGCGAGTCCACAAACGCCCTAGTCGACACAGCGCCTCGTCCTGGCTCAATTGGCTCCTCTTGTCCCACAACCAGCGTCCTCTCCCACCGCTGAGTCAACCACAACGCCTAATCCTTTGATGTATGGCTGAAATCAAAGCCGTTTTGGGAGTGGGTGTCTCGAATGGGTAAACAATGACGTTGACGCGGACTGGCTACCGGCAAGAGAAGGGCAAGATGGGAATCCCAAGCGGAAGCCCCGGCGGACAGATCTGCAGGGGTCTCGAACACCAGAGGCCAACAGCACGAATAGAAAGCGTGTGATGTGGATCATGGGCCCGATGTTCCGCGCCAAAGGCTCAAATTTTCTGCCGCAAATGCCATGACTTATATAATGCCGTTGGCTGAGTCAACGTACAATGTCCGCTCCTCATTTAGGGATACGTGCTTTCTTAAATGGAGGGTGTCCCTCTTTATCCGTCCGAGGCGTGCTCTGTCTCTCTGATCATCAGGAGGGTGTTTTAGGGTACCGGTGAAGGAGAATATACGAAGCGTCGAAGCGAGCAAAAAGGAAACGAAAGCGAAATCACCCTACTCCTTAGGCCACGATGGAGAAAGGGGAGCCAGACGCTCGTCCCACAACGGGGGGCGTGAGTTGGCGCGACAACAATGACGGGCTACCAGTAGTTGACCCCGAGAAAGAAATTCTGGCAGAACAGGAGCGCGCAGAACAACCAGATACCAGCGATACTCCAGACAGCGGTACAACCCTGGAACATCCCAGCGTTGGATTGGAAGAAAAACCCGACTTAGAGCTGCCACCCGCTGCCGACAGCGATACGCCGGCCAGGGCGACGCGACCTGAACTTCACGACAGAGCTACCACATATGCTTCATCCTCTCGCACTCTCCCGCGCCTGAAGCGCAAAGAGACGAGGATGATGCAAAAGGAGGCGCACCCGATGCAGCACTTGGGCATCACGCTTGGGCTGCCGGCAATTTTGATCTTCGATATCGTCGTCCCTTGCATCATCTACTATACATGGTACAACTCACACAAACACCGGTGGGAGAGAGAATGCCGCGAACAGTTCAACAGCGCGCCTGGGGAGTGTCCGCTGCCAAAACCCGAATATGACGAAAACATTTTGGGATACGCCATCATTTCCTTCGGTGTCGGTGAACTTTGGATCTTGATTGCACGGGTTTACAGGTTGTTTGTCCACACTGCGGAATGCGCACCTCTACTGTCGAGGAGTAAATGGGAGCTGGATGCCACGTCCTGGGTGTATGGGGTCGCCATGATCCTGGCCCTGATCCCCTTCGTGGTCGGCAGCTCTTTGGTTCTACCCCATCTCTATCTCTACTCTCCGACCTTCATCATGGGATTTCTGGGCATCTTGATGCTCCTCACCGAGATCCTCCCCATCAACATCCCCATTGGGATCAACTCGCAGCCTCGAGGTACCAAGCTGCGTCCGTTCATTTACTATGCCGCCGAAGATTTTATCGCCGTCGACGGCCTCCAGGACCGGGAGTTCCGCGTCCGCTATAACGACCGATACGAGAACAACAAAGCCTTTCGCAACCTGTTTCGCTACTTGACGTGGTGGTGGTTACTGGGTGTGTGCACGTACATTGGGTGCGTGTCCGCCGTCATCTGGACCCTGGAGTTCCACTACGCCTTTGGACTTTCGTTGGGTGTTCTTTTTGCATACATCGCCATCTGGGCAGCTGTATCTTATGTGTGGGTTAGGCTTGAGATTGAAAGGGAGCACAAAGCCTTTGAGGAGGGCAAGTGTGAGGCCTAGAAGCCGATCCACGGAAGGGGAAGACAAGGAATAAAACTTCGATAGAAACTGTGTACCCGAGTACAAGAATACCTACCTGTAATCAATGATAATGATAATAGCGACGGAGGATGCGCGATTTGCACACCTCAAAAGAAGAAGCACAAAATGCCTCGTCCGGAAGAATCCATATCTGCTTGTCCTCGAGGTCGAATCGTGGTGGAGCTCCCCTTTATTTCCGGGGCGGATTCACCAAGGGTCTGCTAAGCATGTGCTAGGGGCACTGGCACCCAACTGGGACCTAGTAAATCCGCCTCGCCTGCCCCTCTACCTAAACTCCCACTAGGCCTGATGGGACTCCCCACCGGGCCCCCATAATGTCAGGGCCCGAAGCGATCCGGCGCCGTCTGGTATTACTGCTAGTCTTAGTGCTGGTGACGTTGGACACCTACACTACATATTGTAAATAATTTTGCCGACTTCATTAATAGATACGACTCCTATTGCCTCGTAGAGCTCTCCAATTCACCACCACTTCCAAGGTGATTCCACAGGCTTTCTCTCTGAATGCTCAAGATCAGGCTGGGGTATGATCTAGAATAAAAGGGATGCTTGCATTGAGAGGGCTGCTCGTACCAAGATAGGGTCAATTGATGCAGACGCACCTTCCCCCCCCTTTAGAGCAGGGAGATGGTGAGATCTTGCTTACCTTTTGAAGTCTAGGTTCTACAATTATTTCGAAGGTCCGGATGGGAAGTGGAGGAGACTTGAAAAATAAGGAATTTCTTTGACAATGTGTGCTAGACGAGTTGTAGGTGGATGGCCTTGGGACGCAACGGTGCATTGTACAGACTTGTCACCCACCGACACACCTGACAACATCCCACCGAACACGATCTCATTCAAAAAGGGCCGAGAGAATATACTTCAATCAGAAAGGACTCGGTCGAGATGTTATGACTGCTTGAAAGAGGCGTACAAAAGTCACGCAGCCTGGTCGACGTCGCGAGGTATACAACAGGGTTGACCAGCGCTCTCAACAACTGACGCCAGAATGGTTCCAGAAGCTGAAAAGACAACAACGATGGTAGGTAAGTATGTTGCAGCATGGAAACGGAGGCGATTTTGACGAGACTTGAGACTCGCACCTCCCCTGCTAATCAGCCAGGCGAAGAATCAGGGGAAAGTGCTCGTCCCGTCATCTGCGACTCTTCTACATGTCCTTTTCAGCATACTCTTTCGCCTTTCCACTCAGTTTCACTCACCGCGATTGACGTTGTATTCTCAG